TCCCCACATGTCCCCTCATATCAGAGAATTTACCCCTTTTAAAGTTAAAAGTAGTTGTTATTGTGAAGAAGAAAGTTTCATTTGCAAACAGCGTGGCACGAATTTTTAAAAAGTAAACAATAAAACAAAGATGTCGGGGCAAAAAAGGTTCCCAGAGAAGCCGGTGAAGAAGCTGGGAGGAACTTCCGGTTCTAGCTCCCGCCTTGTGGAGCCAGCTGTCACTCAACAAGAAAGCGAGACACTGCACCCTCTGCTGGATCAAATGCAAAAAATAAGCCAAACGTTGTCTAGCATGGAAAGTGTTCTCAGCAACCAACAGAAACAATTGACTGAAACAGCTAAGAAGATGGAAGAAATTGCAAGGAAATGTCTGGTTTGAACGGAAGATGCACAAAAAAATCAAGAAGAAGGGCAATAAAATGGAAAAACATCAAGAAGCACAAGAGAAAAAGTTATTGATGTTACAGATGGAAAAATCAAATTTAACTCTCCGATTTCAAGGCATAAAAGAAGTGGAAAAAGAAGATCTCAGAAGTATTTTGGCGAATGCATTGGCACCACTGACTGGCAATGAAGCGGATAAACTGAGTGAAGAGATGGATTTGGCGTACAGAGCCTATTCCAATTGTACAAAGAAAAATAATTTGCTGGCGGAAATGATGGTCAAATTTACCAAGCAACGGATTAGAGAGCAAATTCTAAGAGCGGCATCATCAACGCCTTTGAAGATTGGAGAGCAGACAATTAGGATTTTAAAAGATGTACCATTTGAAATTCGTATGAAGCGGAAGGCTTATAAAGGACTGACCACATTCTTGCAAAATCATCAAATTAACTATAGATGGTTGATTCCAGAAGGACTTATCTTTAAATTTAAAGATAAAAGAGAGAAGATTGACTCCATCTTCAAAGCTCAAGACTTTTTGAAGAGACACGCCAGCTCAGAGGAAGAAGCAGAACTCGCAATATGGGAGGTACTCAGCAGCGACGGGGACAGCAGCTCGGAGAGGGGGGACAAGGAACCGGAAGATGAAGGAGCAGCGAAGGGCCCATCTTACAATCTGAGAGTTGTGAAAGGAAGACAACCCAGAACATGAAGATTAGTTCGGAGAGCGCGTTAAAAGACAATATTAACAATAACCCAAAGGGACATTACTAATAAATTTAACATTTTTATTTTTTCTACAGGTCAAGATGAAGGACAATCGGTCAAACACAGAAGAAGCCAAAGAATTTACATATACTAACAAAAGATTAACATACTAATATGAGCAATAAAAGCAATAAAATTATCTCCTTTTTAGGAGAGCTAATAAAAAAAAATTAAAAAGTTAAAAGTGGTTGTGTGAGTCTTTTTGGCCAATTCCCTATTAATACAAATGTTGAACTCAACAACATTATGTTCACTGTTCCCAAGTGGTGCAATCACTTTTACATCTATCACCAGGTCTTGAGTGTTACTTAGGCCCAAATCAAGGATCGCCTCTCCCCTGGTAGGTTCCGTGACCATCTGCTCCATAGCACAGTCATTTAGAGTGTCTAGAAACGCAATCGCTTTTTCACAACTAGAACACATATTGACCCATTATATTTGTACCCTACAGCAAAATATTCAGTTGATCATTAGGACAAAAAAAAAGTAATGGCTTAATAGAGAGTATGATATGAGGGCATCAAGCTAAAGGTAAGCAAGCAAAGCTGTAAGAAGTAGTACAGAATGCCTTTATATAGAGAGATATAGGTATATTAACTTGGAGATACAATGATTTAGGTGAAACAAAAATAATGGTTTTAATCCTGAGCATCAGTTTTTCTTTGTGATCCTTAAAACTCTTTTTTTTTTCTGTACTGAAGTTCTTATAAAATTTGTATTTCCTAAGAATTCTTTAAATATGCCAAAATGTTAAGCAAAAATGAAGTGAGTATGATTTTAAATAACCTAAAAATCATAATGTGATCAAATACAAAGCTAGAACTGAAAGACTAGAAGGTCTTTGTCATAATTTCTTTAAAAGTTGTATTGATGCCGTGCTTGCAGATCACTGGAGCCTAAGGAAAATAATGTAAATGGTCCATTATTTAGCTTATTGAACTTTGCTGCAGTTAGGTTGACAGATGATACCAGTGTTTCCCAATCACAAAAGTACCATTTTGAAAGCATTTTTATTGAATAAAGTACTGCAAATATTGCACCCTGGAGCTTTATTTAGGAAAATGGTTCGATTGATGTTTTCTCTTTAACCTCATGTTGACCTATCAAAATATATTTGGTTAATAAGCCACCGTATTGTTTGACAGACTGTTTTGTAATGCACCAGTCTTTAACAATACAGCGTTTTCTGATCATTTCTAGGCTGAATGGATCATCTTTTGATACAGGATAGCCTATAATGATAGCATTTTCCATAACAGGATATAACAATACAGAAAACCTTCACAACGAACAATAGTCAAAAAGTACAGCTAGTCTGAACATACCCTTTTCAGTTTCTAAATGTAGAAACCTTTTAGAATGATAAAAGCATGAACATAAATTCCTCATATGTAAAATATCAGTCACTGAAATTATGATGACCAATGGGAAACCTTCAGTATAATGTATGTACTTACTGTAGCTTCAGATGAGTAACTTATTTTGTATTCATAGTGTGAGCTCTACTTATGCCAGGCTCATTGTTTCTTATGATAAGTGATCAATATTTCATTTTCTCTAAAAGAATGGAAAGTTTCATTTGTCTGTTAACTTGTGCC